CCCCCCCCCCATAATGGAGAGCTCACTACCAACATTGCAAACTAAAGGAAGTCCCACCAGGCAGTGGTTAAAGACAGGGATTGGGTTCCCACTTGACCTTCCTTGAATGAGTTTTTTGACTTCTCTGGCCTCAGTTTCCCTATCCATAAAAACAAGGCTACCTTGGCCTTACCTTTCAGTGTAGATATGGAGTATAGATGAGCACATGGTGGAGAGGCCACATGCAGGACCTGGTGTGTTAACTCTAATCCTGATTATGCTGCTCATTGTGTTCTCATTTGTGACATTGATCTCTGCATGACAAAAAATGTGAAGATTGCTGGGCTCTAAGCACAGGCCTAGAGGAGGGTCCTGACCAACCTGGATGTGTAGGGGTCCTTCAGGAGGTTCCCACAGAAAGGAACCATGAAGCTTCAGTTTCCCCAACTAGGAAATAAGCCCAGCGATGCCCTTTGAGCTCAGTTGGGACAGGGCTGGCATTTAATGAGAAGCTTCAGTCCAGCCTCAGATTTCTTCTTGGTCTCCTTCCAGCTTCTGTGGTAGGGGAGGACCAGCTCATCCAGTGAGCCAATATGTTAAACCCTGGGACTAAAAACATCAGATATGAAAGTCTAAAGGGCACCTGCCACCCTTCTTCCACACCCAGGTGTTCATTAGTGTGACTATCAGGTGTATGTTTGCATAAATCTACCTGTACACATGGTTTTACTAAAGCAGAGTGCAGAACACACCTTTCTAGGGAATTATCTTTACTGGGGGTTTTTCTTCTTTTTCTGTTTACAAAAGCCACTCATGCTCCCTGTAAATAGGGGACCAACCATCACTACTACAAGGCCAAGCCATCACTACTACAAAACGGTGAGGGATCACCCTCAGATTCAGCAGGTCAGGGTCCAAATCCCACGAACACTCCTCAGTCTCGGTTGGCTGTATGACTGACCTCTGGTAGGTGGGTGCCCTCTCTGTGCCCAGCTCACCCACCCACCTGGGAACTGGAACCTAGGGCCCCCCTGGATGGCCCAGTGAGAACCACAGGGACTCATCCACAGGCAAGGGTTTAAACCCCCTCCTGCAAGTACCCTGATTCCCATTCATGAGTCTCCAGAAAATTGTCTTGTTCCCCACCTCTCTGCCCCCATTAGCACATCAGCTCCCCGAGCACTGGGGTTTCTCTGTCAAGTTGTCTGTGTGCCCAGAACCTAGACCAGGACATGGCACAGACCCAAATGCTCAGAGCAGTCATTAGTGTACAAGTCATAATGGCGGCTGCTGATATTAATATTGTCATTGTTGGCACTTCATAAATGAATGACTTATAGAAAGGACCACTGCTTGGTCCTCCAGCCTTTCCCAGGACGTAGATCATTATGCATACAAATAGGGTTCTTCCAGATGCTTCTGTCACCCCCACCCTTCAATTCTCCTTTTGATAGCCTAGGAATGTTCCACATCCCCATCCAAATCCCAGGGGACAGTTGGTGAAAGTGCAGGAGCAATGATGACCGCACTGACAGGGGTAACCATGAGTTTGCAGCTGATACCATCCAACTTTGCAAGCAAGGATGCCAAAGTCCAGGGGTCCCAGGATGGCCAATAGCCAGGTCAAGATGTCCTTCCCCAGGGGACACCATGGCTGCTTCAAGGGCATCAGCCATCTCAGTCCTCCTAGCTGCTGGACAAGGGGGGAACAAGCTGTTGTTTTCCTGATTTGGAAGCTGGAGGCACTCAGGCCTATGGCCCCTGGAGCTGGATGGAGCTAGGGTGGAGATGAGGGTGGGCGTGTGTCTGATGGGCCTGGAGAGGGATTCAAGACTCATCTTTTCCAAGCCTCAGTTTCCTCATTTGGAAATTGAGAGTGTCTTGTGTGAAGTGTCTTGTGCAGAATCACCTTGAGGCCTCCAAGTCAACTATTAATTGTTGCTTTACAACTATGTCATGTATTGTAAATACTGGGTGCCTCCTGCATACTTGGTGGGTCATTAATATTCAGCACTTCACTAACGATCAGCACTTGCTCATTAAACACATCACGAATATCTCAGTGTCGTGAATATGGGGGTCGTTAGCACATTAGGAATATTTAGAGTGGGGAATATTCAGTGTCTCTTGTTCCTGCCCCCTGAATCCAATGCATTCTCCGAGGACCCCACCCCCATGCACCCTATGCCCCCAGTGGCTGCTGTCACCTTCAGTGGAGTTAGGCTGAAGTGAAGCACATGGAAATGGCTAACATGTGGGTCATCATTAGTATTTTTCCCTCTGGCAAAAAACACCAGTGAGCATCAAGTGGGGACACAGCTTTTGGACAAGACGCCAGACCCCACCTCTGGGGCTCCAGGCTGGTTGGGGAGATGGACAGGAGAGAAGTGAGTAGATTTGTCCAACAGTGGTGAGAGCCGCAGAAAGAAGCAAAGCCAGAGTGTGGTGTACTAGCTGGGAGGTTGAGCCCCTCTAAGGAGGTTGTTGCGGAACCGGAGACGTTCACCTTATGGAAAGACCAAGCGGCACTCGGAGGCTCGGGGTTCAGGAGGTTTATTTTACGCCGGCGGGCCCAGAGGAGTCCAACTCCAACGTCTGAGCCCAGAGCACAGTCGGGCAAGAAGTTATATACACACACGCTTCCGCCTACGTGGCAGCTCTACCTTGCTTAGGGCGGGGAAAAAGTCCTTTCTGGTTTGGCACACGCGGGAACATGGCAGGAAAGT